GCACGACCATCGATTTTTCCCTCCTCCATCTCCCGCTCTGCCTCTCCTTCGATACCCGCCGCTTCTATTCCTGCCATTTGTTTCTCTTTCTCCTCCACGCATCGCATCACGTCATGGCCAGCGTCCTCATGAGAGGCTGAGCCCCATCCACCAGAACCGCTGCCCTTTTATCTTTAATTCAGGCCAAATTGATTTCTGAAGGGGTCAAACAGGAGTGAGTGCGCTTCCTGGGGACGCTGCTGCTCGGCTCAGCAGATACCGGAGGCCTGAGCGCGCACGGCGACCTGCGATCGTTCGCAGTTCATTTGGAAAAGCCTTGCAGATCGTTTGTTTTCCAGCTAAATTGTTCGGGAGCATAACCGAGAGAGTATCCATTAACCAGCGCTCCCCCAGTTCTTCTAATTTTTCTTTTTCACCCCCACCCCTTCCACTGAGCGCGGTATTATTCATATTCTCACCGCAAGTCTCTGTAGCTTGTTTGCACCTGGCCGACAAAAAACACACAAGCGCAAACTTGCAACAGTATATCACTGAACGCTATAGGCCTAAACCACAGAAACACAGCTAAGACAAAATGCATGGGAACCAGGAATTATTCACTTGGCCATCCTGTCATTTATTAGCAGCTTTCTAAATTATCCTCGTGCATTAAGCTGGAAATCAAATTGCATCATATGAAATTAAATTAATAAAATACAGCTTCAAATGGTTCTGAAAAATCACCAAAATCTTCAAAACAACTCCCATAAACGTGTGCGTAAAGGACACACGCAAGACAACAGATGCTGCAGCAGCGGAGGCCTCCTGAGTGACAGACAGAAGTGACACCACTGCGGCAAAGGGGAGCGGAAACAGTTGCACAAACTCAGGGGAAAACAGCACAACAACAAAAAAAAGCCAGTGTCTGTATGCACTGCAAGAAAACACGCACACACTCTCACACAACACAAACACCCAGCTCCAAAAGTCCCCGCGCGAAAATCAAAGCTCCCACGGCCATAAATGCCCCCTTCGCCTGACCTCGCCAAATGCGCACGGGGGCAATAAAACCATAAAAACCGGCTCGCTGGCATTTGCCTCTCCTGCACAGAGCAGCGAGAGAGGCAACAACAGAGAAGGGGATAGAAAATGAAATTAGCAGGCCTCTTACCTTAGACGCCAGAACTCTGTGCGACCTCGGGGCCATCTTCCTCTTTTGCGCCGGGAGGACTCTGTGACTGGTTTGTTGGACTTTCTTTGGAGGGATTTTTTTTCTTTCCAATGAAAGAGAAAAAAGTTTTTTTTTCTTATGGTAGGATACTTGTGGGGTGTAAAAATAGCTTGGTGGTGCGTGGGAAGGGGAGGTGTATGTATGAGTGTTTATGTGTGTGTAAGGAGGGGGTGTGAGGGAGGGAGGAGGAGGGGGGGGGGTGTCTTCCAAGACGTCTTCTTTTTCTTCTCCTCTGTCTGTGTCTGTTCCTTGCCCTCTGTATCTCCTGGCAGAAGGGGTCTTGTGTGTGGCTGTCGGGTGACAATAGAGAAGAAGGAGAAGACGGAGAAGAAGTGTTAAAAGAAGAACACGTGATTAATGATTTTTCTTGTATAATTCTCGCATTTTTCTTGAGGTGCCGTCCCCTCTGCCCTGTCCTGAAAATAATGGCTGTGAACTTTTTCAGAGGGGTGGCGATGAGGAGTGTGTGTGTGTGTGTGTGTGTGTGTGTGTGTGTGTGTGTGTGTGTGTGTGTGTGTGTGTATTGGGGAGGGGGGTCATTCTTCTTACAAAAAAATCTGATCCCATTCAAAGGAGCAGCAGAAGGCCCCGGCTGATAAAGGTGACTAAAAGAAGTCAGGGTTCCTTGGTGGATTTTATTGTGCGCGGTGTCACCCCGCGCGCAAATTCATTTATTTCAACTCGGACCGTGAATACTCCAGGGCTTTAGGAGTTATTGTGGAGGCGCATATGTGAGCGCATGTGTGCAGATACTGGGGAGGGGATGTTTCTTTACAAGCGCCAATATAGGACATTTGGTGTGTAGCCACAATTACAGCATCCTGACACAAATATTGTCGTATGTGAGGAGAAGTTCACCGCCTGCGGGTTTGTGTGGCCTATGTGCGTGTGTGGACGAGCTCACATAAGAAACATTGGCTATATAGGCCAAATACACACACACACACACACACACACACCCACACACACACACATATATATATATATATATATATATATATAACTGGAGGTTAATGCACATTAGCAGTCATATTCGATACAAGGACAGTGAAAACAATAATAATAATCGTCATCATCATCATCATCATAATAAGAAGATAAAAAGCAAAACAGACGAATTTCGGAGTAAAATGTGTTGAAATGCAGGTTTAAAGCTTTTATTCCGTCACAGTGGGTATAAAGCTTTATGTATTTTGGCGCAGTGTGCGTGTGTGTGCGTGTTTGAGCACATCTAGGTATACAGTTTGATAGGAGGGCGGTTTTGCTGGAGAAGCCTTTCATAAATAGGAAGAAAACAGATAAATGGGCAGAGGGAGTCTCTGTGGCAAGAAGCCCAGGGAGAAATCAACCAACAAGTAATAGGGAATCTTCTCTGGGCCGAGAAATACGAACGGACCAATTTGGGGGGCACAGTTTTTTTGTTTAAAGTTCATCGAGAGGAATGCTATTTTCTCGTTCTCCCCCCTCTTGCTCTATATTTTTCGATACCTGCTCTAAGAGAAGAAAATGAAAATTAATACGGGAGCCGCGCCTTACAAAAGAAGCCATTCGTCTTGTTGATTATCTATTTGGTTGTCAGGGTTTGAGCTATGGCGCCGGCCTGCTCCCTTTTTGTAATATATAAAAAATAAAACACACATGCGCGCACAGCACCAGTGCAGAAAACAACGATAGGAAAAAAAAAACTGAGCAAAAATTACACTCATTAAAGCATTAAAAGACCACGAACCGAGAGGCTATTTAATTTTTTTTTTAACTTCAGAGCCAGAGGAGGAAGGAAGGGGGCTGTCCCACACTCTTTGTCGGGCCGGTGCATGCGAGTCTGAGCAGCCGTTAAATTAACGGGAGAACGGGAGTGAAACGGAGGGACGTTCTGTGATTTAAAACGAGATTACAGGACGTAATGTACCAGGATCACTCAGGGCTGGGACAGATTAATCATCGGAGGCCCCTGATTTCTCAAGTCAGGTCGCTTTGCGTGTTGTAGGCAAAACCAACACTGAGATGAAGTGGAATTATTTATTGTGTAGAGTGTGTACGTTCACTTTAAAGACATCCTGCACGAGAGGAGAGATGAGGAAGTAGTGATGCTCTCTGCAAAGCGAAATGGAAATGAGTCTGTTACAAAAATTAAATAAAATCTTTAGGTAAAACCTGGAAACTTGAAGACTGAACACTGAATAAATGATAATCCTGAGAGAAGAAATTAGAGCAAATGATGCTTTTTCAGCCATTTATTTAAATTTCAATGGACTATTTACAAATAATAAGAAGGTAGACACTGAGTAGGCATAAGCACAGAGAGGAGCAACTTACATATCGGGGAGGTAACACATGTTCAACAATATCATACATATCATATTATCATCATCATCATCATCATCATCATCATCATCGAGAAGGTTAGAACCTGATCTTTGGAATGTAAAAAATCATATCAGTTAGAAAACACTGGCAGAATAAAAACAATAGAGAGAAAGAAAAGTGTGCGCGCATTGAATGTGCGAGGAAAAGAAAGAAATGAATCAACACCATTCAGACATGCAATAAAAGGCTCCTTATTCTTTCTGAATGTCTCTGGCTACAGAACAATTACTTAGAATTAAATAACTTTTTGTTTCACATACAGGAAAATGAATAGCGCTTTTTTGTATTGCAGGTAATAATAATAATTATTATTATAATAACTCGTCACACAATTTAAAAAATATAAAAGCTTGAAAAGCTGTCACTTCATTCAACGAGTAAGAGAAAATAAGATTATAAAAAATAATAATAATATATAAGTACAGCTGAGGTAATAGGTAGTACCCTACATTGTATAGTGCTGCGTCTATAGTGTGTTCTGGAGCTATTTGTTTGAATACTAGTGTCCTTTGTTTGGGCAGCTTTATAAACTGTGTTTGGTGCGTGGTGGGGGAAAAAAAATCCTTAATTTCACGTCATTTCTCTGGATCACCCTGTTCAGTCTGTCAGTCTGTTTCCCTGTCGGCAACATGAACAATCAGCGGACCACATGAACGCGTCCTCCCGTCATTCACACCGATGCCAGCTTATATCATTTTACAATCAACACTGAATTCAAAAATAACTATAATGAAAATTGAAAAAGCTACGAGTTTGTCATTAAAGAGAAATGTCAACAGTTCTAATGCTCTCATTCTGCATCATAGCGGAGGTTATATTTGATGGTGGAATATTATCAGGTCGCACAGAGGGATGTGTGCGTTTGTGTGTGTGTGTGTGTGTGTGTGTGTGTAGGTTTGTCTGTTTGTGTATGAAAACTTCTCTTGACGAAATGAGAGTTCCATTTATTTATTACACGTGCGTGTGAGTGTTTGAGTGGGGTGGGAGGGTGATCGGTATAGTGGTTTGGGGGGGGTTGGTGAGGGGGTGGGAGGGGTGGGGGGTAGTGGGCAGAGCCGCGGTTCACCCCTTTGCTTTGTACCCGCAGAGTAAACATGACAAATGGGGCCCGAGTTTGGCATGATTAAAGATGAAAACGAGGATCCATCTTCACCAAAAAAAAAGTCTCGGATAGAGAAAAAAAGGAACCACACACACGCACGAGCACAATATATTCAGCCTACACCGTCCCGTGCTCTCTGATAGAGAGGAGAGAGAGATGCGGAGAGGGAGGGAGGGGGTGGGGGGTATAATAAGAAAGGAATCTAAAAAGCTGAGGAAGAGGCAGAGAGAGAATGAAGGGTTAAAAACAAATAAGCGACCGCATCATTTTTTCATTTCTGTCACTTTCCTTCTTCGCCTGTTTTGTTCCTTTCTTTTTTTTTATGAATGGGAAATCTCCCTCTTCACCCTCACACGTCATATTATAGTGTGTAACATCAGCACAGATCAGGGCCACATCCCTCCCTCCGAAGCGTTACTCCGGTCCAAAGTGCAGGTTCCGGTGGTTACAAGGCGTTCAATTTGGGAATCAAGTAGGAAAAACGGAGGACACATCTCAGACAAAGAGTAAGCGGTAGTGGGCTATAGTGGTCCGGTGGAGCGGTTCTGGGAACCGGTTAGGGACTGGGAGTTTGTGTTGCTGCTGTTTGTCCCGGAGCGGACCTTGGTGTTGGGCAGCTTGTGGTCCTTCTTCCATTTCATCCTCCGGTTCTGGAACCAGATCTTGATCTGCCGCTCCGACAGGCACAGCGTGTGCGCGATCTCGACCCTGCGCCTGCGTGTCAGGTACCGGTTGTAGTGGAACTCCTTCTCGAGCTCCAGAACCTGTTGGCGCGTGTAGGCCGTCCGCGACCGCTTCGGCTCACCCCCCGTGTAGTTTGAACTCACTGTGGGGGAAACAGCAGAATAAATGATCCACAACATGAAACATTGAAGAAAAAAATGGCTTACAATACACAATCACCTCCAAAATAAACAATGATAATAACAATAATAAAAACAATAATAATAAAAATGATGATAGTCAAGCAGCTAATAAACTGGCTGCTATATCTAGTATCATGGGCTCATTACAGAGGACCTAACACAGTATTGCGGTGATATTTTCCAAACTGAAAACAGCACATGAAGCCACAGGGGGGAAAAATATTATGAACACGCAGCCCGGCCACAGTGACTGCAGCTGATGTAGGAGAGCACAAAATGACTATATGACCCTCACAGGCCTGTTTTATCCTACAACAAACCTTTTTTTCCCACGTGTTTTTAAACCAGCTGTCACAGCTACTCCGCGCTTTGTTTCCCGAAACGCTGCATTTTCAGTGAACATATGCTGTCAGGTGTCATTTCAGGCCCGGCGGTGGTGCGTGAATCCTCCGCACGCAGCCAGCCTGACAACGGTGTCCAAATGTTGTGATTTGAGGGCAAATCGAGGCAACTGCTAAAAACTGCGCACACACGACTGGGACTGGCGTGAATTATTAACACATGAAACAGCGACGAGCAGCGACGAATAGAGCAGTTTCCTTTTCTGTTTTTTAAGGCACAAATGGACTGAGTGCGAGGATGGAGCCATTGTCTCGTCTTGTATAAACTGGTTGAGAATAAACGTGGTGGTGGGGGCGGGGGTGGCGAGGGGGTACGGCAGCTACACGACGGCATTCAACAATGATGATTCAACACAACAGGACAGTAGCAACTAAACATGCTGCAGCAGAATCTAAAGACATGACAGCTGCAACAATGTGCAGAGAGAAAAACGCATTAAAACGGTTTCTTACCGCGTGCACAGGCCGCGTTATGGTGACTTTGCAAAAGTGGCATTATGTCGTCGCGCGAATATTCGCTCCGATTATCCACAACACACAACAGGCAGCGAGTCCATTATAACATTACAGAGAAGCCATAATAGACTGGAGCTATTCGGTGTTACATTGGTGTTTTACGGCCGGCTCCATAAACATGAATATTTCAGCTGCCATAAAACTTTCCCTCCCTTGGAACAACGAGTGGGGAAGGAAGGCTCGACAGAGTAAAGTACACCGTTTATACAACCCGACCACTTAAAATCAAATTACCAAAGCATAAAATCTAACTTATGGGCTCGGTCTGAGTTGTCATAAGGCGAGGTATTAGAGCAGACGAGCCCGAGATCGGACTTCAAAAGGCACCTCAGCGCAGAGGTGTAATAAAAATTTATGGAGGGTGTAATTATATTGGCCCTGCAAACAGACGATCGTAAATCTTGACCCAAGGGCTACTCTTCTACTTCTAACAGAAAACAGGGAGGGGAAGCCATAGATTGTGACGGTGGACACCTAGCTGACTGCATGGGTTTCAACCGCAGGCAGCGAGAGAGAGAGAGAGAGAGGGAGGGAGAGAAAGAAAGTTTGCATGTAGCACTTACCGATGTTTACATGGACTTTCTTCATCCACGGGTAGACGACGGGATCCTTCCGAGTGCTCGCGGGGGAAGAAGTGCTTTGGCTGTGGGGCGTTTGGCCGCAAGACGGAGGCGGAGGCGGGCTGGGTGTCACCGACTCGCAGCGTTGACTGTGCTCCGGGACGGGGGTAGTCTGCAGCGCGGCCGGGGGAAGGACGTGACCCCGAGGGGACATGACCACCGAGGCGGGCTGCCCTGCGCGCTGGCACGTCGTGTAGGGCGGCTCGGCTCGCTGCTGGTGGTGGTTCTGGTGGTGTGGCTGGTGTTGTTGATGGTGATGGTAGAGGGAGTCCGGCTGAAAGGCAGCAGGCTCCTGCCTCTGAGAGCTGTAATAGTCCGGAGAGTGGCTGGGCAGATAGTCGCTCTGAGAGTATTCCTCGCACGGTGGGAACTTCGGGTCCACATAGTTGGAGTTGATCAAATAGGAGCTCATGGCCATTAATTTCAGTCTTTTTGTGGAATTGCACCTACTCGGAAAATATATAACTAAAATTTATATCTCATCCCTTTACTCTTCGGTTATTCCTGCTCCGTTGAACCCTCCTACTTTTCTGTCAAGTGAACAAAGTTAAGATGCCACGTGACGGCAGCCGGCCAATGGCGAGCCTCCAGGACAAACCCCGGATAAGGAAATGGGATTAAGCATACACAGAGCCACGCGCATTATCATATGGCCTCAGTTTGTGGGTATTCAGTCTTACAATAACCCCCCTCCACCCCTCCTCGCCTTTCTCCATATGCACCATTCTCCCTACATAGCCCATCTCTCCGCCACATGTCGGCACGCATGCCGCTCTAAGCAGGCAGAGAATCACAACAATAACAGAGCGCGTCCGAATAGGCTGCATTCCGCTCCAGCTGAGGCGGCGCTGGGCGTGCACGCGCACCAGAGCAGGCTCCAGTACAGATGTTGTCATCTGGCTGCAAACTTCAAATATAACATAAAGAAAGCAGAAAGAGAAAGAGAAGAAAGAAAGAAAACGCTGGAGGGTGTGGGTGGTTTCAAGTGGCCTGCACCACCTCCTGTGTATATACTGGGTGTGTAGGGACATGTTTCACAAAGTTTTTTTTCTCCCCTGTTCTTTTTAAATCGCTAATAACGGGGAGTGGGAGAGTGGCCTGACTCCTGCGCCACCCAGCAGCAGCAGCACCGTGTCAGAGATAAATCTGGCTTGTTTAGGATCGATAGAAAATTCATCAACTAATTCAGGTTACACAGTCTCCTAAATCACCAGCAGCCCTTTGCATTAAGAATCAGAGTCCTGCACCGTTTCCCTCTTTTTTTGAACCCCACGCTGCTCCAACAGGAGCCCGCTCTTCATTTACCTCCTCTCGCATGATAATTCAGACTCAGCCTTTTGCCTTGCATGAATAAATAGAATTTATTTCCCACCCATGTTCCCATATTAACATCACTAGCAGAGCAAACCTATTTGAGCCATTCAGACTTGTGCGGCTGCTTTTTGCCCTTGAGCTGTGCATTACTGAACACAGATACACGCTCTTTGTTTTTTTTCCTCCTGCAAGAGAATCCATCTCCCCAACCGTGACCCGCTCACACGAGCTGCCACAGACCTCCACCGCTTTGTTTTCCCTTTTGACATGTAACACACAGTCCCACTGTCTTCGCACTGGTCACTTTCTTCCTACTATCAGACACAGAACACCAAACACAACAAGACGCACAGAAACTCTAAGATTCATATTCATACTTCTCCCTACAACATTCTTCCTTAATATGTTATATAGTAAAATCCTCTTATAATGCTAATAATTGTGCTTGGTGCAATTTCTGCTGCGTTCAAAAGCATCAAGACACAAAAACAAACTGCAAAACACGCAACAGAGAAGAACAGAGAAGCGGCTGCTGAGCACTTTCTGTAGCACCATCACCACAGATTCACACAGGCAAGATGATGGAGATGATGGAGAAGTCCTTTGTTTCCAGAAAATTGACCGTTTCTAACACCCCCACCCCACCAATACCCCACCCTCTCCGCCCCACCACAAAGCTGACTGTATCATTTTTCAACAGGACGACTAGCAAAAAAAAAAAAAAAACTCCAGTTCAACCTGGAGCCTGGAGTTGGCTTTTAAAAGTATGAAAACATAAAGGCTACAAAGACAAGAAAGACATTAAAGAAGCATTCAAATCGAATCAGTATCATCTAATCAATAAAGTCCTAAAATAAATAAAATGTCTTCGTTTTCATGTCATTTTCTATGTTCATAAAAGAAATTAAAATTCATGGAAAAGACACATTTTCTTTATTCTTATTTTCAACCTTTAGCCTCCTGCTAACCTACAAACGAATTCAAATCAAATATAAAGCAACGAGTGAATAAAGGCGCTTAGAGCCGGTAATAACCGCTGCAGGCCTCTGCTGCCTGTGTCGATCCATCGCAGCCGTCGTGTATAAATCCACTATATACTCCCCTAGAAGCGAATTTGTGATTGCTTTAATGATTTTTACACAAATCCGGATCTACAGGGTAGATATAGAAGACAGTGGCTCTCTGGAGGCGCGCCTTCACACCGTCCACACACTCGTGTTGCTTTCATAAACTCGCTGTCGGAGCCACAGCGGAATATCTTCATCCATCTGTACTGTCTCTGATCCCTGACCCTCCGCAGCGCTGCTGGGGAGCTGGGAGATGAAGTTATAAAGCTCTAACGCTTCCTGTGAGTCAGGGGCGACGATTAAAACAGCTGATACAGAAATAACAAGGAAGATGGTCGCCATTTTTGTTTCACTTTTAAGCAGCAGAAAGTGATGGAAATGTAGAGGAGGCCTTTTTATCCAGGTTTAAAATACTGTACAGCGAAATAAATATTGACCTTTCAAAATAAAGGCCGGTAATACATGATATCAAACAATATTATTTACATTCTGTATAATGTCCAATAATGTTATAACAATTTGATTGTTTTAAGTTGGAATATGAGGCCTGCGCCGCGGTTATTCAAAAATAAAAATACTCATTCATACTTTCCATCAATCTATCACCCACACAGAAGTTGATCAGAGCTACAGCTGTAATTATCCGAAAAAGAAAAAAAAAACAAGGAAAAAAAAAACTGGCAGCTTCAGCATGTTAGAACAATTTAGTGAAAGAGGAGACAAATCTCTTGGCACAGGGAAACACTGTCCCATCAGAAACAGTTCTGAATAATGTTAGTGAAGAATGGATGGAGTAATGAATAAACGAATGGATGAATCCATGTCCCTTCACGATGGTAAATGCATTGCACGTTTTAACTGAATTAAAAAAGCCGCACATAAGGGCCTACACTCAATCATGATTCTTTCTTTTTCTTTCTTTCTTTCTTTCTCATCTATCTATTTATCGATCATCTCTAAATAGCCAAAATAAAATAAAATAAATCAAACAAAATAAAAAAATAAACAAAAATAACACAAAAAAACGAAACAAATAAAAACAAGGAGAGATCATTTCATCCTCTCTCACTGATTTTAATGCATTTAGCCTTACACTATGTTTATGTTTAGCCTATATGACAGATATAGTTTATGAGAATGGTGTGTGTGCACATGTATGTTTTCAGGCCTAAATGTTTTTCCTGTTATATTTTCCATGTAAATTCTATCTGCTCTGGCTGCTCCCACATTGATTTTGTGACACTGACTCTCCCTCCCTGCTTCAGGCAATATTGCTGTTCTCCGTTTCCTCCAAAAGTTGCCCATACATCACCTGAGCGGACCACAGAGGCAGAGTGTGGCGTCATCGTCACTAATCTGCTTCTACTCAGCCTCTTCTCTCTTTATATTCTGCTCTCTTTTTATTTAGTTCAAACACAACCCAGCATGCCGAGTCTCTATTCTATTCTATTCTATTCTATTCTGCGCAGGTGTGTGCATACTTCTCTCACCTTGACCTCGCGCTCTGCTGCGGGTCATCTCAGATATCTATCAAGGTGTGTTTGAGTCTGACTGCGGCACTTCCCCTCCCTCTGTCACGTTTGTCAGAAGCAACCAGTTCAGTTTATTGGGAGACTAGTGTTTCCAGTGTTTCCAGTTACAGCTTCAGACACGCAAAAAAACAAAAAAACAAAAAAACAAATTGGGTTCTAGTAAACAGATTAATTGGATCCCAATATAATGGAGCCTAATGTGGAAACAATGAATCAAAGACTCAAATGCCAGCTAATGCAGCTGTTTGCTATTTTGTTAAATAAAATGATAAATTTTAAAATGTGCTTCTGAAATATGCGTTTCCGCAGATAAACCTGAACCTGTTCGATAGCTGCGGCGCCCCACCTGAAAAACCAGCCCGTCCTGTTGTGAAACCCGCACATGATGAGCAGCTGCTCCAGAGCGAAAAATAAAAACAGGCCTTTCTCTTTGCTCTAACATCAGAGCGTCTCCCACTGACATACACCGGGACACAGTGAGTGGAAAAGGTCAGCGGATCTGGAATTAAACAAGTGACTTTTATTGCGGGTCAATTCCGTTTACAGCTCAAACACCAACAAGCTCAAACGGAGATGGAAGAGAGGGGGGTGTGGGGAGTGTTTAAATAAAAAGCAATAAAATGCGCAGGGAGCGGAAGAGAGCAGGGCTGAATAAATAACTTTAAGGTCTCCTTCACAATCTAAGAGCTTTTTAACACGTTGGTTCCATCAGCGGCACAAACTCAGCTGCTGTTGGTTAACACAAACTTGTGCTCTCTGCTTCTTCTTCCACTCAGAACTGGGATTACGTTTTTTGTCAAAAGTGGATTAATTCTAAGGAGCATTGAGGTAAGATTTCACTTTTGTAGCCCGGAGTAGTTTCATAATGAAGGAATAACGAGATTTAATAGAGAAGACTGAAAAGCTCTAATGCTAGAAAAATAAATATTTGTCAGCTCCGTATAAAGTCAAATCCTAACTATAGGAGGCTACATGAAGTTAGATTTTTGTGTTCTTATACCATCTTTAAATTTAGCCCGAAACACGACATTAAAAGGCCACGTTTTTTTGTTGTTTTTGACCAACAGCAGGCCTTAACTGGTGTAAAGGCACATTGAGAAAATCAAAATGAACATATTGAAGGGTTAAACGGCCTCTTTATCTGCAGCGCCCGGACTTGTCAATGTGCTGAAATATTGCCGAGGTGAAAAAGCTGCGGGGACAATAACGACGGAGAAGAGAAATGTGGTTTTGCTCCTTTGTGCAGTTTGAAAAATAAACCGAGGTTCATTCTCCTGGTTATTGTCATGCAAAGTTAACGGACAGAGATAAAAATGACGCAGAGGCCTGTCCCTCCGTGTGGCAACGATGGGAGAGCTATTGTGTGGTAGTGAGAGGCTCGGCTCTGAGTCTAAGACTAGATTTATTTCACAATAAATAGCGAAGAGGAAATAAAGAGAAATCCAACAAATGTCCAGAAAAATACTGTTAAATTTAACTACGTCCAATAATAAAACTTTGCTCCAAATGGCCCTTCATTTTTAAACAAATGTGCACAAAACAATTTTTAAATA